CCACGAGGTGGTCCTGGATGGGCCCCAACTATGGGTGGCACCTTTAAGCCTTAACCACAACCCAGACTAATCCCCGCTCACACCGGGTCGGCCCGTAAGGGGTAAAGTGCTGGCCAAAGTGGTGACTCCATACGAGAGCAGGGATCGAACCCCTGGGCTTCAGTTACGAGGACAGTGGGTTTTCACTTTCTACATTTACCATTATTTCCAAAAGTTTCCCTCTCATTTTCTAATACATACAGGCCATGTAATTTTATACGGGGATTGCTATACACATTAAAATATGAATGAAGTAAATCAATATTGGTTTGACTGGTAGTGTTGTGTTCATGCGTTGTGCCACAACCAAAGTACAATTTGATTCCGTGAAACAAGCAAACAAAACGAAGTGAAATAATGCAAGTCCGAAGGAAAAAACAAATGAAATAAACGAATGAGCTTTTGCGGTTTACACACAGAAAACGATACAACACAATTCGCTGGCTTCTCTAATTTATTATCTTGTTTTCTCAGCATGCTTAGAACATTCACAGTGGAGATGATTCCCGCGATAAATGGTGTATATTTAACATATATTTTTTTATACATCCTCTCATTGTGAATGCTCTTAATATTCAAATCTTATGCGGTTAAAATTTGTGTTCAAATTTTTAATAATTGTACTTTATGTTCTTAGGTTGTCAAATGCTGAGAAGTAGTGTACTTTGGATGGAAGGCATAGTCAAATCATAGTCCAAATGGTGAACAGCGTGAGATAAAATATGCAGGTGGCAAAAAGAAAAACACTTTTCCAACAACAGAAGACCAACTTGACATTTTTTCTTAAAGGTGTACCAGTTTTCTGCCGCAGCCTAAAGTGTCACATGGACCTGCCTCCAATTGACATTCTAGTCTGACTAATTTATTGCTGCAATGACCGAAATAGCTTTCCAAGAAACAGAAAAATAAATTGCAACACACGCATGTAAAAGAGTGGTTAATAGTTACCAATGCAAATGCAATAAAGTGCAATACATATATAATATAAGCTGTGGTTATTCGGAAAGGTCATGAGTTTAAGTTATAGCATCCGTGAGTTTAATAAGAAAAATTTTGAGAAACAAAAAGTAGCTGTGGCTACCATCCTAGGGTTAGTTGGATACTTTACTGTCCATTGAAGTGGTTGCTGGTTTGGTTATTCTCATGATCAAGTAATTAAGTAATGTTTTAATATGAAGAAAACAACTGTTTCCCAAGTGGTTCAAAATGTAATTCGCCAAAAGACTTTGTATAGCAGAAAATTTAAGATAAGAAATAAAAAGCAGATGGTTGGTTTGTTATCTTCTTAAGTACTTTACCATAGTTGAGCTTCGTATCTGGGGATTGAATTGAAATGGGAAAAACTAAAAAGACAAAGAGAAACTTCATTTTTTTTATGGTTCACAATTTCCAAACACGCTTGCTCTTATTTCAACCATTTGTAGCAATTTTTTATTCTGCCAAAGGGCTTATGAGGCCAAGAGGCAGCACGCAATCACACAAAGGTAAAAAGTGAGAGGCGCTCAGGTCAGGCCTAGCCTAGGAGAGAAGGAGAGGGCCATCATTACACCTGCATGCTATATATTCTTGTCCTTCCCAAAGCTCCCAACCCAAAATACCGCTCCTTCTTTTATTGCTTTGCTTCTTGTTCACGATTCTGTATGATTTTTCCAGTGCAATAATTCAGCCTTAACTGTATCTGGCTTGTTTGTTTAGCTATAAGAGCCTGGAGCTTTAAAATTTCTTGTTGAGGTGGGGTTGATATTCTCTGAGATCAGCACATCTGAGTAAATTGAAGGGTGATGAGTGGGCGGTTTGGGATCATGAGGATCTGGGATGGTTTAAGGTACAGTTCAGCAGAAAAAAAGGGCCCACAAATTTGGGATCCCATGCTATAAGAGTTATGATCCATCTAATCAAAATGTCATTGGAACCCGCAGTTAATCTGCTTTAGATTCTGCCTCTGTAGAAAGAGAGATTTCTTAACTGAACCAGGATTTTGACCCCATTGGTTCTTTCAAACCAGGCCTCCAAGTGAACCAGTTGATTGGTTGAGTAAGAGGTGGTCTTCTTCGTCTTAGATTTCAATGACCAGTTGACAACTATTTGTATAATCAACTCTACTCTGTTTTCCCAATTACTTATTCTTTATACAATTTTAGGAGTTGTTGGAGACTCTGGCAAGCAATTTGTATTGGATGTTGATGAAGCTTTTGTCAAAACAACATATCCATATCCACATGTGGAATGGAAGCAAAAAACAAAACAAATGGTGAGTGCCAGTGGTGAGCAAATTGAAAGCACGTTTGTGTGTGTGGGGGTGAATGTTGGGTGACTCTGCTAGCTAGCTGTGCTTGTTGCTATCCATTTTTTCATGCATTTAAAAACTATCCATTTAGCATATTTGTCCATCAAAATCCTGTTTTGGGCCTTTTGGGATGAGTAAACAGTGAGTGTGTGTGATACAAAAATAGCAAAAAGGCCAATTTAAAATTATGGGTTAAGAAAGAAGATGACACTGTCTCAGAAGCAATTCAGATGTTTTTGACCAAACAGCATTGGGCCTTTTCCACGAGCAGTAACTTTAGATTCTGGGCCCGCATTATTTAAAGAATATAACAACGTCTACTTTTTTCCAACAACCCAAATGAAATGAGCATCTTGCTTGCCCCATATTCGAATTCAGAATTTCAGACTTCCAAAATCCAAAGACGAAACCGACCAACGCCAAATATATTCTGTTACATCCTTTTTTTAATAAAATATAAAAATTATAAGAGAATATTTGTTTGTGAGAATTTTTTATATATTCTTTTCCTTATAGGAAGTCATATTTATAATACAATAAAACCTAAATGGGCAAGTAAATAATAAATTCCTAAATCTATTTACAATAGGAAATCAAAAATTAAAGTAAATCAATTATAATTATAATAGGAATTCTTGGTGTGTAAGGAAAGTAAGTCAATATCCACAAGTCACGCCAACATTTTCCACTGAAAATAACATGCCAAAAAACATGCATCTTCATCACGTACCCACCATAAACATAGTTTAAAGAAACTCTTTTCTTTTTTCTTTTGGAAAACATAGTTGAAACTTTTAAAAGGGACTCGTTGATGATCAATCAGTACGTATATGTCCCCCTCCTTTCTTCGCAAGACTTTGCTCATAAACCGACCAATGTGTTTCTAAGAAGCATTATTCCTTAACTCGTTGCTCCACTTCTATTAGAAAGTTTGATACCTATGAATGATAATGATACACTTTTTTGTATAGTCACAAAAGACGGGCGAGAAAAGTAAACTCATTAAGCAATGTACGAAAGACGGAGACTTTTGTCAGTTTTTCCGTTTCTTAAAAAATGGTAATATCTTTTGCGCCAGAAGAAGTTGATCTTGATCATGTTGGACTTGGCTATTATGTTTTCGTATTATTTTGGAAAACTCATCATCTTCCAATAGTTTCAATTTGGGTTTGATGAACTGGAGATAGAATCTAAGTGGTGTCAATTCATTCGCTAAAACTGTCTTATTAACTTATGCATAAGCTAATACATCATCCACCTCTTGTAATTAATTATATATAGTATTGATATGTCCTAAATCTGGTAATAAAATAATGTTCCAAATATATGGATATATGATCCAAAAATGGCCTACTGTTCCTCATCGTTATGTGTTTGAGATTCAGCTAAAGTTAACTAGCGGGGGGGTTGAATGAAAGTTACATGAGGCCTATCTTCTCAAATAATATACTATCTGTGACACTGAGTTATATATAAATGGTCATAGCAGGTGGGATGGTGAAAGTTACACGGGGCTTATCTTTCTTTTGAATTAATGATAACATGTTAGCAAGTGGCAACTCTTCAGACCAAAAGTTCAACCACAAAACACTTCAATAATTGTGGAAATTGAGGGGGCTTTGAATTTTCATGTCCACTTTTGGCCTTGTTGCACGTGGCAACTACCCAGATGATCCATTCAACATGTACTGCTAAGCCACTCAATAATTCAGCATTAATATATATATTTTTGTCTAATTATAACCAAAATGAAACAGAAGTTTGTTTTTGCTTATGGACGGACGTGTTGGCAGTCTCTCAATTCGTACGTTATCTCTCAAGTTCCCAACGAAGAGGACGATGGTCCTTTCCTTTCCTCTCATTTTGGACATATCTTTCCATTCATGCTAATGGGAGTAATAGAAGTGCAGGGTTATAATTTAAAATTCATGGTTGATTGGTGCTGTGCTGGTAGGGTACAAATACAAAATCAATGTATAAAATAGTCAAATAAATAATAAACAAGGCCCCTTATAAAATAATTCAAAAAAGGCTTGTGCTTTTGGAAGAACCTTCTCTTCAGAAACCCAACAGATTATTCTCCCACATTGCTAAGATCACACCGCCCCATATCTAAGCGACAATGATTTGATTGTGTAATTGTTTTTAGTCACAAAAATACATGGTAGTGCTCGATTGATTTGATTTTAATTTATATTTATATATAGTTGTGTATTATTTTAATTTGATATCAGTACTGTGCTTCCTTGCCCTTTTAATCTTCCCAAAACATATCTAATCTAAAATCTAATAAAGGAAAGACAAAAACAGATCCTAAAGTTCTAGCAAGCAGACAAGCTAATTACAACAACAGAAGATCATTTCATTAATTACAAACCTAATTAACAATAAGGAGGAAAGAAAGAGAACAACCTAAACACAAACTCAAAGCAACAAAGTGGCAGTAGATCTATCTTAATCCGGGGATAATCTAGGTTGCTAGTCAACTCCATCCCTTTTAATTAAGTACATAATTTCATTACTGACAAATACAAGCTTAATTAATTACATCATATCACATGATGGAACAAGCATTTGGGTTTTCATCGCTAAACATAGTGGTGTACTTGTCGTCTGGTGCACCTGGGGTAGGAAGTGCCTGAGCCACGTTCCTCACATAACCAGAGGGAGCCTTCTTGTCATAAGCTCCGGTCGCATAAGGATAAGCCACCAAGTTGTAAGGGACATAGGGCCAAAGTTCAGCTTTCTTTCCTGTGCTCTTCACTTTCTTTAACACCTTGTTTGGTTCCACATACCCCGTCACCGTCACCCGGCTCTGCTTTCTGTTAACCTCAACTTGTTTAGCACCTGAATTAATTAAGTTTACAAGAATTAGTCTCGCTAATAGTTAATTAACAGGGGTCCCTTGTCCCCTATGTAATAGTTATGAACTTATATTATACCATGATAAAAAAGGACACTACATTTGTTTCTGGTATTAGAAAATGTTGTGTGATTACATCAAAATCTGAAATTACGCTACCCTTTGTGAATAATTAAGGGAACATAAATAATGCTGGTAACTGTGACCTTCAACATGAACGCTATTACATGATATATAATTATATATTGGTAAGGGTCTATTTGGATTTTCAGATTTTTTCATTGCAATTATTATTGAGTCACAGCATATACTGTATGAGGCTCTAAAGATGTATGGTTTCAAACAGAAAAAGCTAACGATGCCAGATGTTTATTTGTACCACTACTATTGAGTACTGGGAAGAAAGAGAAGAGAGTCAAAGTAATATCTGTCTGTTCCAGAGACTTTGTAGTTTCCCTTTACGAGGAAGCTCAGAAACTTTGTATCAGTATTGTTTTGTTTGCTCTCTGTCTCTCTAGATTTTCCCTGCTTTTCTAGTGGAGGAGGAGGAGGAGACCAAAAGTAAAAGTCTTGGTAAAACTTATTAATGAGTTGTCCTGTCCAGGCTGATGGGCTCTGATAACCATAACATGCATTTCTGCTTCAATTTTCTTTTCTTTTTTCTACAAAAATGATGGATAATCGGCTTCCTAATATCATTTTAGCAGACTGACTTGGGAGAGCGCTTAAGCTTTGAACCTTTCATGTTAGAGACAGCATTTTTAACTCTCCTTTCACAGCCATCACAGTCCATTTTCACCTTGATTTCAACTGTCTGAACAAATTGAACAAGAACAGAAAGATAAGTGAGCTACGTATTTATCGCCACTGAAGACAGACAGAACTAACTAAAGCCTTTAGTCTAAAGGAAGACAAAGCAACTAAAGCAGAACAGCAAGAACAAAACATATAGACTTGGTTTTGGTTTTGAATCTTTTGATGATATACCTGCATTGGCTTTCGTTTCTTTTTTGGTTTGGAGATTGTGAAATAGTCTGAAAGAGCGTCCAGAGCACCCATACTTGATCAGCAAAGGCAAAGCAGCAGTGAAGTTTCTTTGTGTTTTTGTGTTTTAGAGAGAGAGAGAGAGAGAGAGAGAGAGGGGGGGGGGGGGGGGGCGTTTGCTGCAAGACCAAGACAGTATTTTGGGGTGACAACAGAGATATATATATATATGTGTGGTGTGGCCTGGTCCTATGCCTACTGTTTATGAGATGTTAATTGTATACTGTGGGTATTAATTAAGAGAAATTAACTTTGGGTGCAAAGTCGTGTTTAAAATTTAACCTTGTATGCACCAGATAATGACATGTGTCCCCAATTCATGCTAATCTCCAAGATATCATGCCCAACAACTTGGCATTATTTTGTTGGCTTCTGCTTAGGGCCCAAAAATTAAACCCAGTGATAGGAATTTTTCC